TCAGAGTAACAAAAAGTATGTAGTCTGCAAATACAGCTAATTTATATTCCCTTTCAGCAACCTGCAGGCTTTTAAAGTTCGGATTTGCTCTTAAACAACGCAAGAAAGGTTCAAGAGTCAATAAAAAAATGAGTGGGAAAGCGGACACCCCTATCTGGTCCAGTTGGAAATCCTGAAGGCGTCCGATAGGTGGCCATTCACTTTAACCCGAGCTGTGAGTGCATTATATAATGATAAAATCCTGGAGCGCATGCCCTCTGCTAAACCAAAAGCCCCAAGAATCCTCTCCATGTAATCCATTGCCACCTTGTCGAATGCCTTCTCGGCGTCCAAACAGAGGAAAAATCCCTCGGTCCCAATAGAGGTGAGCCAATGATGGAGATTCAGCTCCTCGAGAGTATTATTCCATGCCTCCCATCCTGGTATGAAACCAACCTGGTTGAAAGATATCAAAGGGAATGAGAGGGAGCAGACGATTGGCTAAGATCCTGGCGAAAAGATTAAAGGAGAACTATGAGATGAGTGATTTCCACTCACCTCATAGTTCTAGCCGACCTGTGACAATGAGACTGTCACAGGTCGGCTCAGTAGATCGGGAGGTGAGCGAACCCATACCGGGTTTGCTCACCTCTTGATCCTGTCACGGGGAGGGGGCGGGTACAGCTGGCTCTGCCTCTAGATAGGCAGAGCCAGCTGTCCCTCACGCAGCTGGGCGGATCCCGACGTCCATTTCGGGATCCGCTCCGGCTGCGGCGTCTCAGTATACCGTGAGCTTCAGCTCGCAGTATACGGAGCTTAGGGTAACGGGAGGACGCTAGTTTGTGTCCTCCCGTTACCCTAAGGAGAACTATGGGGAAAAACACTGACCCCATAGTTCTCCTTTAATGTCCACGTTTAAAAGTGAGATCGGGTGATAATTTGACACTCGGGTTGGGTCCTTACCAGCTTTTTGTATAACTGTAATCTGAGCCTCTAGTAGTTGGCAGAGAGCTAGTTGTTAAGCAATCAATTTGTAATATTGGAACGGGAGACCTTCTGATCCAGGGCTCTTTCCGGGCTTCACCTGCTTCAGAGCTAAGTGGAACGCTTCGCCTCAGCTTTTGATATCCGCGGGGGGCAATGTATAGCAAGAAAATCTCTGATACAATCCAACCAAGGGGCAGCAAGGGGGTTTGGTGTCGTGTTTGAGGGTCATGAAGGTTATAAAGTCTCTCTTAGTACATGAACCGTTCCAGTTGCATCGTGGATGGCATGGACAGTCAAATTAGACTGCTTCATCAGCAAACATCTGGCCAAAAGCCTACTACATTTATTCCCCTGGGCATAAAACAAATTTTGATTAAGCATGAAACGCCTTCTAGTCTGCTTTCCCAGTATTTCCAGTAACTCAGTCCGAGCCTGGGTCAAACCAGATGGCCATCGCCTGAGTCCGTGTATGTGTCTGTTCTATTTGTCAAATTTGGTCAGTCAACTTTTTCACCATAACTTGATGTTCTTTCTTATGTTTAGCTGCCATAGCGATAAATTCTCCTCTAATTACACATTTATGCGTCTCCATTAGAGCATTAGAGATTAATCTGGAGTCCAAACTGAATGAAATATCCTATATCCTATGATGTTTACCCTATGCCTTGGGTGAAAAAATTGATAATTACATTACCACCCACGATCTTAGTTAAGGGGTATTGCCTGGTTCCCTTAATAGACAGGGCAAAGAAAAATACAGCTTTTGTGACACCTCGCTTTTGGCTTACACGGGGCCCAGGCCTCATTCATAGACCTCATTTTTAAGCCCCTCAAAGTTTATGCTTCGCTGTGTATTTTGCATATAAATACCTGTAATAAATAAACATATCTAGATGATGTTGCCATTTTCAGCCTTGACTGAGATTCCCACCTACAGAAGAAAGGCCATTTTCAGCCTTGACTGAGATTCCCACCTACAGAAGGTCCAGGCAATTTTAGATTCAATCCCAAAAAATGAAAAGTCTGGAAGAAGCCTTGTATTTGGACTACAGCATTCAAGGCTAAAATTTAATATTGGATGTCTGGGATCTTCGGGCCCTCAGATGGCAATGCATTAAAAACAGTCATGATTCTGTGATGGACATCACTGCATGGGCTCAGGAATCACTGTCTGTGAACACAGTACGCTGTGCCATCCAAAAATGCCAGTTAAAGCTCTATCATGCAAAGAAGAAGCCATATCTTGATCATCCACATGATCCAGAAACGCCGCCATATCCTCTGGCCCAAAGCTCATTTAAAATGGTCTGTTGCAAAGTGGAAAACTGTTCTGTGGTCAGACTAATTGAAATTTGACAATCAATGTGGTAACCATGGGCACCGTGTCCTAGTCTGGACTAAAGAGGAGAGAGACCTTCCGTCTTGTTATCAGCGCTCAGTTCAAAGCTTTTATCTCTGATGGTATGGGGTTACATTAGTGTGTATGTAATAGGCAGCTTGCACATCTGGAAAGGCACCATTAATGCTGAAAGATATATTCAGGTTTTAGAGCAGCATATGCTTACATCCAGACAATGTCTTTTTCGGGGAAGGCCTTGAATATTGCAGCAGAACAATGCAAAACCAGGTACTGCATCTATGACAACAGTATGGCTTCGTAGTAGAAGAGTCTGGGTGCTTAACTGGCCTGCCTGCAGTCCAGACCTTTCACCAATTGAAAATATTTGGGCATCTTGAAACGAAAAATACGACAAAGAAGACCTAGGACTGTTGAGCAGTTAGAATCCTATATCAGGTAAGAATAGGACAACATTTCTCTTCCAAATCTCCAGCAACTGGTCTCCTTAGTTCCCAGACATTTACAGAGTTTTGTTAAAAGAAGAGGGGATGCTACACCGTGGTAAACATGGCCCTGTTCCAATTTTTTTGAGATGTGTTGCTGCCATCAATTTCAAAATTACCTTATTTTTTTCTTAAAATGGTCCATTTTCTCATTTAAACCCCTTCGTGACTGACGACGTACAGTGTACGTCGCCAGCATCGGGGCTGTTTAAACAGACTCCCGGTGACTTTTGCCGCCGGGACTCTGTTTAAACTTGTAGAGCCGACTGTCGGCTTTACAACAGAAGCGATCCTGGCGACTTACCTGTCGCCAGATCGCTTCTGCGTCCCGAAAGAATATTACATGGGTACAAAAATTGAAAAAAAGGCCTCAGTCATGAAGGGGTTAAACATTTGATATGTTTTCTATTGTGAATAAAATATGGGTTTATGAGATTTGCAAATCATTGCACTCTGTTTTTATGTAGATTTTACACAGCATCCCAACTTTTTTGGAACTGGGGTTGCAGGTCAGAACCTTTCTATGGATTGTAGGATACTACTACCAGAGGTTTGTGCCTCACTTGGCTATGATAGCAGCTCCACTTACTGATATCTCCAAAGGGAGCAAGTTCACCATGGTGAAATGGAATGAAGGGGCAGAGAGAGCATTCAAAGAGCTAGAGGCAGTTTTGTGTAAGGGACCAGTGTTAACCAACCCCAACTTCAGTCAAGAATTTCTTGTACAATCAGATGCCTCTGATGTTGGCCTGGAAGCAGCCTTGTCCCAGGGAAGTAATAGGGAACAACATCCCGTAGCATTCCTCAACCAGAAACTAACCCCTTCAGAGAGGAACAATTCAATAGTGCAAAAGAAGTGTCTAGCCATGAAGAGAGCACTAGAGTCATTTAGGTTTTACCTTTTGGGCAGACAGATCCAATTAATTACAGACTATTCTCCACTACAGTTGATGAATTGGAACAAAAGGAACAATGCAAGGGTCACAAGATGGTTTTTGGCTCGGCAAGATTTAAAGTTTTATGTAGAACACAGGCCAGTGACCCAGCAAAGGATACTCTGCCACCTGTCTGTCTGTCACGTGCCCTCTGTATGTTGGCAGATTATGGATTGTGTATGTGTCACCTACATATCGTGAGGGGCTTAAAGGTTTATGGCTGATGTAGAGAAAACAGATATTTATTAAGTTCTATTTTGGGTCCTGGAGTCTGGAGGCATTGTAGAGTTTTGGATGGGATAAAGCCTCAAGTCCTACAGTCAAGGCCAAACATATTGGCACCCCTGCATTTCTGTCAAATAATGCACCACTTTGCACAGAAAATTGTTGCAATTACACATGTTTAGGCATTCTCATGTTTATTTCTTTTGTTTGTATTGGTATGACACAAAAAGTGGAGAAAAAAAAGCCAAATCTGACACATTCCACGCAAAACCCCAAAAATGAACTGGACAAAATTATTGGCACCTTCTCCAAATTGCAAGGAATTGCATTCCAAGCTTGCGATGCTCCTGTAATTTGTAATTAAACTCACCTGTATCAATTAACAGGTTCTGACAATATAGAAATTGCACTACCAGTTAAAATGGTGAAAAATTGACTCAACATTTATTTATTTTGTGTGTCTCTGTGTGCCACACCGAGCAAGGGGAAGAGGGTGTCAGGGGATCCCAGTGCAGGTGACCCCACACCTGCACAGGTACCCTTACAGGCAGACCAAACACATGTGACCACACGGACCAGGTAAGTATGGTATATATAAAATATTTTAATAAACCTAGCAAGCTAACTAAAACAATCCACAACAGACATAAACCAAAAATGTAACAACACAGGAAACCGGGTAACACAGGAAACAGGGTACTAACATAGCATGCAAATATCAGGGTCTCAGGGTTCAGGCCAGAGGACTCAGACAACAGGGGAAAGCAACACAATCCTGAGCCAAGGTCCAGACTGCAGGGAGGGTTTAAATACTCTCCCAGGAGTATTACCTAATGGGCTGATTCCTGACAGCTGGGAGACACCCACAGGTGAGCACTGGAGCTGCAGGTACCAGCACCACCCAGTGGTGGTCTGGCACCTAGCAGCCCCTGGCTGCCTGGAGAATCCTGCAGGTGAGCCCAGGAACTGCAGGGCTCAGCTCCAGCGCCACCTGGAGGCGCTCTGGATCCTAACACAGGGACAGCAGCAAAGTATTGTCTGAGGATTTGAGAACAAAAATTGTGGAAAAGCATGGACAATGTCAAGGTTACAAATCCATTTCCAGAGATCTAAAGGTGCCCATACACTGCACGATTATCGTACGATAATCATATGCGATCAGTCAGCGATCTGTGTCAGCTCGCACTAGACGTCGCCAAAAGCGATGCTATGGTAGGAGACCCAGGAGGACCCTACTGCTGGCACAGAAACATAAAAAAAGCCAGATTGGAGTTTGCCAAAACTTACCTGAGGAAGCCAAAATCCTTTTGGGAGAATGCTGTGCTGGGGACAGACAAAACAAAATTACAGCTTTTTGGAAAAGCCCATCATTCTACTGTTTTCAGAAAAAGAAATGAGGCCTTTAAAGAAAAAAATACAGTCCCTACAGTCAAACATGGTGGAGGTTCACTGATGTTTTGGGGTTGCTTTGCTGCTTCAGGCACTGGATGCCTTTACTGTGTGCATGGCATTATGAAATCTGAAGACTACCAAAGAATTCTGGGGTACAATGTGGGGCCCAGTGTCAAAAAGTTGGGTCTCGGGGGCGTGGACTACTATGGCGGTGTGAGGTCGCATACTCTCTGAGCTCCGCTGCCCACCGAGCATCCTGCAGATGATCACACATTTTAGCTTACCTACTCCAATGTCCAAGAAGAGCAAACCCCCTAGAGGCGATACCGGGACACCCTCCGGGGACCTGCACCCTTTCTTCTCGTCGCCGGCTGTCTCTACGCGATCCTCCACGGCCAGCCGCATGGCCTCCTGAACCGCTGCGGCCTACAGTGATGTCCGCGACATGGGACCCGCCGGAGACTCCCTTACCCTCCGGGCCTGCAGCACGCTTGATCCCGCCGGGTGACGTATCACACACCAACGTGGCCCTACCATGGACCGACAGCCACCGCCGGTATCCGCGCCCCAAGCACAACCATCGGGCACCAGGGAACCCCTATCCGCAGGTGAGATGTCGGCCATCTTGCTATCCCTCCCGACCAAACGGGATATAGCAGAGATGGTCTCTAGCATGGAGACAGCCCTCAGGCGCGACATAGCGGGTATAACATCTACGGTCTCCCGACTCGAGGACCGAGTCACCTCCCTCCATGCAGACCAGGGTAACACCTCCCAACGGGTACTGGAGCTGGAAAACAGAGTCCTGCGGCAAGAAAACAGGCTGACCACCATGACGCTGGCCCACGACGATCTGGAGAACCGATCCCGCCGCAACAACGTAAAGCTCCTCGGCCTGCCCGAAACCATACCACCTGCAGGCCTTCGGGAGGCGGTATCCCAGATCCTCAATATCGCGCTGGACAAGCCACCCGACTCTCCCCTAGAACTTGATCGGGTTCACCGGATTGGCGGACTGCGCCCAGACAGAGACATTCGCCCACGGGATGTCTTGTGCCGGGTCCATTATTATACGGTATGGGGGGCCATTCTCCAACAAGCCTGGCGCAAGGGCACAATCTCCTACGAGGAAGCAGACATCACTCTCCTACCTGATCTGTCAAGGCGCACTCTGCAAATGCGCCGGCGGATCCAACCTCTATTGGCTGAAATACGGAGAGCAGGGACGTTCTACTCCTGGGGATACCCCTTCTGCCTCAGTATTCGCAAGCAGGGGGAGTCGTTCGTGCTGCATCACACGGATCAGCTGCCGGCCTTATTTTCCTTCCTGGAAGCCTCACCTGTGGAGATACCTGACTGGCTCCGATATATCTGAGGTAACCCGCCCTCTGACCCAACGTGTCCGACGCCGAGCCTCTGCAGACTTTGGTCAACGGCGTACCCCCCGGGCGCCACCTATGGAAGATCTGCCGACCCAAACAGATGGATGGGACCCCACTACCAGAGAACTGTGAGGATTCTGAGGTGACCTTTACCATACTCCTAACACGGGACTACGCCACCTAGGACTTCAACCGCATTCCCCGATTATAACATGGGACTTTGTCTAGCACCTGATGACTCATTACCGTGACCCACTTCACTGCTCCGTTTGCTACTTATGGGTGATGTATGATTACTGGATTACCCGTATTCCCATTGTTCGTGTTTACAGCGACCTGGGGCTTCTCGCGCGGGATGGGAGAGGCGTTTGGCTCCAGAAGGGGCTTTTCGCCTGCCCCTCTCCGCGTTAGAACGCAACCTCAGTATTGCCTGTTTTGAAGTGGAGGTGATTACACCTCGTTGTTTCTTTTATTAATATCTCACTCTCTTTCTTCTGATTTACCATTGTTGCTTTTTCTATAGTATATAACCTGATGCTGCGGTGGGTAGCAGCTCATTGTTGATATAGTTGTTATATCCTTTTTACGGTTAATTGCTTCCCCCCATCCTCCCAGCCACTCTGCCCTCCCACACCTCTTTTCCCTCCCGCTACCGCCTATAGACCGTCCTCATCCACCCGTCCTGACCTCCTCTCCCCAATCATGGCCACTCTCAAGATCCTCTCCCTTAATGTAAAAGGGTTGAACCCCCCTGAAAAAAGGAGGATGATCCTAACAGATGTACGCCGCCAGGGAGCTGAGGTTGTATTCCTGCAAAAGACCCACTTCCAGGTGGACCATATCCCTCGTGTGGAAACTAGAAGGTTCCCCGTAGCCTACCACAGTGGATCCTCTGACAAGAGATCCAAGGGAGTCAGCACCCTCATCTCGAACACTGTGCCTTGGTCGCTCCTAGCTCAACATTCAGGAGAGGAAGGCAGGATCTTGTTCCTGAAACGGACCGTAGGGACACAGGTCATGACATTCGCAAACATATATGTGCCGAACCAACACCAAATCACATTTATAGAGCGTGTCCTGGTGCAGCTGTCGGAGTTCCGGGAGGGCGTGTTGATTGTGGGGGGGACTTTAACCTCATATTAGACCCGGCCCTAGACTCCTCGAGATCCTTCTCCCACCTCTCCTATGCCACCCTTAGACGCCTCCAACGATGCCTGTTCACACACCAACTTCTAGACATTTGGCGAGTACAACACCCCTCTACCAGAGATTATACCTTCTTCTCCTCTCTCCACTAAAGTTATACCCGCATTGATCTACTCCTAATACACCACAGCCAAATTTCGAGAGTTCGTGACACTACTAGGGAACATTACACTCTGTGACCATGCTCCTGTCTCTCTCCTCCTGGACCTGGGAATCCCCCCCCCCCCCATATATGGTATGGGAAGCACACAAGGCCACTATCGGGGGCCTACTCATTGCCCAGGGTTCCAGGATTAAGAAACAGAGACTGAGAGACATGACCGCCCTCTTGACACAGATACACACCCTCGAAACCCGACACAAGCGCCACCCTGAACCGACAATCGGAGCCCAACTACACCAAGTCAGAGAGCAGCTCCGTTCCCTATGCAACCATAAAGTTAAATCCACCCTGCTCAAATGCCGTCGTACTTTCTACGAATACGGCAATCAATGTGGAAAGTACCTGGCAAGAGCCACACGTAAACAACAGGCCAGAACGTTTGTCCCCTCAATCACATCACCCTCAGGGGCCAAATATTCACTCCCATCAGAGATTGCGAAGGCTTTCTCCGATTACTACGAAGATCTTTACAATCTGTCGGGCACCCCACCACCCCATGACACAACTAACCACTACCCGAGCATTGTACGTTAGATCCAGAATTCCGGTATTCCGTCCCTCTCACAGGAGACTAGCTCCCTAATGGAATCCCCCATCTTAGCAGAAGAATTGGAACAGGCAATTAAACTCACGCAACCTGGCAAAGCCCCCGGCCCAGACGGCTTCACCTTGCCTTACTACAAGCGATATCTCCCCAGTCTTACCACTCCTTTCCTGAACACGCTCAATTCCCTTAGAGGTAGCCATACACCCCCACCTGATTCCCTGAGAGCTCACATAACTGTTCTACCCAAGAAGGGGAGGGACCCCTCCCTCTGCCCCAGCTATCGGCCGATATCTTTACTTACTTAATGTGGACACCAAACCTTTCGCTAAAATCCTCTATTTACGCCTAGTACCCCATCTAGGGGATCTCGTCCACCCGGACCAAACCGGATTCATTCCCTCCAGAGAGGCGAGGGACAACACCACCCGAGCGCTGGGGGTGCTCCACTCTGCCCGGTCAAGCGCCACTCCATGTGTACTTTTGTTCCTCCGATGTACTCTGGAAGCGGTGAGGGGTGGGAACCTACATGCGTTCCTGGATCAACGCACTATACTCGGGCCCCTCCGCACAGGGGAAGGTGAATGGTACTATGTCTCCCAACTTCCCTATCTCTAATGGCACACGTCAGTGATGCCCTCTCTCACCCCTCTTATTTGTCCTATCTCTGGAACCCCTCCTGCGCATGATACGTGCCAACCCCGACGTTAAGGGGATAACGGTAGGCCACACGGATCACAAGGTTGCCGCCTTCGCGGACGACCTTCTCTTTTTCATATCCTCCCCAGATACCTCTATCCCCATCCTCCTAGAGCAGTGGTGGCGAACCTATGGCACGTGTGCCAGGGAGGGCACGCGAGGCCCTTTCTGCTGGCACGCAAGCCCAGGTTCAGGCCACAAAACATTACGCAGCCGACGGGGCGAAATCTGCAGGCGAGCGAGCAGGAGGAGAAGGGGGACGGAGCGGCAGGGGGTGGAGACAGAGGAGATGGGGGTGGAGACAGAGGGAGATGGGGGCGGAGATTTGAGAGGACGGGAGGAGCCAGGGGACTGAAGAGTGCAGATAATTGTTAGACTGTGGGTGTGCCGAAGAGTTACAAGCCCGCCTACCTACCTTCCTTTTTGGTATGCGGGCCTGTAACTTTTCAGCACACCCACAGTCTAACGATTATCTGCACTCGGTTTGTAACAGACAGGTTTTTTCTCTCCATTAGCGCAGAATATCGGTTCTTCCAGGGCCCACCATAGATTATGCACAGCCCACCAAAACACTTTGAGATAAATAAATTGATTTTGCGTCGCAGTTTGGGCACTCGGGTTCAAAAATGTTCGCCATCACTGTCCTAGAGGAACTGAAAACATATGGTAACCTCACCAATTTCAAAATCAACACCCACAGATCGGAAGCTCTCCATGTCCTACTCGCC